CTAATAATGCCAGCGGTTGTAAATTGTAATAACACTTTGCCGTGTTTTCTAAGTAGCCTTCAATTAGGGGTTTACAGTTTTCGAGAAAGTTTGTTTTTCATCAAATAACAGTTAAAGATGTCGCGGTCAAAAACTATTTTAGTGCTGAGCAGCATACGAATGGTTATAGCAGTACGTATAACTCTTTTCAATTCGTTTGTGCCTAAAATCCTAGGCAAGCAGTTTTGTCGCCCCGTCGTCCGTGTGCTAAAATTTAATTTAATCGACTCCAGTGGCACGCAATTGGGTATAACAAACGTTTTGAAAAACTATGCCAAAAGTTGCGTCTTATCATACTTATTAAAATTTGATAATATAAAAAAATTCACCGTGCCGTGTTTGAATTATAAGCCCCTGAAACTGTAATTAAGTGTGTTTTTAGCGGGTCATACTGTTGCTATGATACCTATTGCGTCACGAAAGTGATAACAACGTGTTCACCAATTATTGGGCAGTTTTTTAATACCATGATTGTAGTATCAAGTGTTAAAGAGTGGTCATAACGATCCGTCAAAATGTAAGAGCTGGAAACTGTTTTGAGGCACCTCAAGTAACCTTCCGGGGCCAGGTTTTTCGAAAGACGGTGAACGCCAACCCAGAATTAAAAGCTAGCCGAAGTATTAATTTTTCTTGTATAAAAATGTTTTCCACTGCGTACGTTTAGTGTAGTTTGACATTGTTCAGGCTAAAAACTGAAAGAAAACAAAAGAAACAGAAAACCTTACCGAAAAGGTCCAAAACTGAAAGAAAAATTTCCGATAATCCTGTGTTAGCTTAATTTAAACTTGTCCTGGTGGTTCCAGGCGTTTATATGACTTCTACAGTTCATTAGAGCAGGTGTTTTAGTATTAAGCGAGCTAGGTTTCTTGACAGCTATTTCTCTTGTCATATAGCGTCTTAACTTATTGCTCCTGACGACCCTGCGTTAATTCTGCTTGTTCTTGCCTTGTCATCTTCGCCCGACTACGGGCTACTGTTTGAGAAAGGGGCCCTCTACACAACATTATTATTGATTAATGAAATGAAGCATAACTCACCAGAATGCTGTGAAAAAATGTTAAGGGCTTCTGGAATTCTATACAAAAAACTGTAAGTTGCAGCAGAACGGGTTACAACACTGAAGTACTTAAAACTAAAACTATTATACATTAACCGTGCAAAACGAATGCTTGGCCTTTTTGCAAAGCTCGACAAATTTGTTTATATTTTATTTCGTTTTTTGTTTCGGGGGACTTATTATATGAATTTTTTTCACTAAAAACTTACTTGAAAAACTTACTATCCAAAATCGGTAGCATACAAAATTATAATTTTAATGAAAAAGACACCGTTAGGTGATACAAGTTAACGGACAGAATACATTTAAAGCTATTTGTGGAAATGTCGGTTTGTTTGATAAACGTCCCGTTGAATTCTGAATAATTATGAAAATGCTTCCTCTTGTTAAGATACCTCGGTTAAATGCGAGCAACCATCATTTAAATTCATTTTTCGCTCTCGCCAAAGTAATGTAATCTAAAGCGGAGAGCTAAAACAAATGTGGTTTTTTCACTTTTTTTAGAATAAAGATCATTCACCAAACAAAAAACGAAAACGAAGACGACTTTCATTTTTTTTTTATTTGGAATTTTGGGGTACTTGGGAACACTTCTATAGAAACAAACTCTTAATATGCCAAAACTTTCTTTCTTGAATTCTAATTTCCTTAAAAATACCGGATGTGAGAGTATATCTGGTAGCCACGCGATACAAAATAAGCACATTGATGAGCATAGAGGACATTTTTCGAACTCACCCTCCGAAAGCGCTGAATAACATTGATGAGGTATCATTGAAATCCATAACACCAACACGAACAGCACAGAAAAACTCATGGTTACACCACGCTGGACGTTTTTAGTTCTATCGTCTCAAAGGCAATGCAAGAAGGAAATTGTCTTGCTAACACCTGTAATGTGTGGAGGAGGCGAGAGCCAACTGCATCTGAGAGCAGTGTTGTGACACTTCGGCTTGCAGACGGTATGCCCCGTCGCAAGTTATACGCAATACCGATTGTTACTTGTAGAAGCTTTGTTTTAATACACCTATCGCAGATTGAAATGTTACGTGATATGTTGTCTTAATGTCTCCTGATAATCCGAGCTGTCGTAAATTGTAATAACAACTTTGCCGTATTTTCTAATTAGCCTTCAATTAAGGTGGCCGAACACAGTTTTGATGCCTGTGTTTCAATCTCCTTTTTCTCTAAAACCCTTGATGGCAATCCAAGAGGGAAGTTGTCTTGTTAACACCTGTAATGTTTCTCGCTATTGTTTATCGAGTGCATATTAGGCTATCATAATGGCACAAGGTGATTATTAAATTAATGCAAATATATAGATTTAGCCAAGCCTAAAAGCGGAACTGCTGATGACAATGACTTGACCTGGCTTGAGTCTGCGATCCAATCGAAAACCAGCACCTGGGCAGCGGTTACACGTGAACTCGAAGCCCAAGTACTTCATGTATCCCTTATTATAGTGTACCAAGAGAAAATGAGGTGAGAGAACACATCCCCGTGCCCTGTGATAATCTTTTTCAATCTATTTTAAGCTTTGCGTCACGCCTATGATCGCGCAGGTAATGGCCAAGGGTCATCGGGTCGCGTCCTTTTAAATACGAAATTTAAAATCTAGCAGGTTAAGAAGAAAAGATAAGTTTGCTTTGAACTACCACACTGTTAACATTGGAAATCATTATCAAAGCGCTGGGCAGGAAAATTATACGTGCTTCTCCGAAGTTAAAATAGAAGTCGTGTCATTCCCCTATATGAATGATTAACACAAAGCGCCAAGACTCGAATATCTAACCTGCTTGAAAGTCGTATGTCAGAAAGTACCGAACGGATTGAAGCGAAAAGCATCTCTTTCGAAGGGTATTTCAAAGCGCAAGACAGTCAAAATATTTGTTTCCCGTTTGTTTAGAACTTTCGCTCTGAAGAAACCGGTGCAAATGTTTGCGTATTTAATTTCGGAAATTTACCAGGTTTGCATGTCCACGGCGAGAAAAGCTGCTTCTCCGGACTTACCGCAATGTTTGGATTGAGAGAGATCCCTTCGGAAAGCATTGTCAAAGCGCTGGGCAGGAAAATTATCTTCTATGTGTTAATCTTAAGTCCACTTCGAAAATAAGTCTTCACTGACTGATTCACACGACTGATTCGCATGAGGCGCCATGCCGTGGCTGCTGACAAGAATTGCATTCTATGAAACACGCTCGAGAGTCGTTTCTCGAAAAGTACTGAACGGATTAAATAGAAAAACATCTCTTTCGAAAGGTTTTTCAAAGCGCACGACAGCTGAAATACTTGTTTCCCGTTTGCTAAAACTTTCGCTCCGAAAAGTCCCGGTGCAAATTTTTGGATATTTAACTTCGAAAGTGCTGTGTGTAAATAATATTTACCAGAGTTTGGATGTCCACAGCGAAAAAGCTGTTTCTCTGGAATCACCACATTGTTTGGATCGAGAGAGGACTCTTTGGAAAGAATTTTTGAAGTGCTGGGCAGGAAAATTATCTTTTCTGTGTTTATCCTAAGTTTACTTCGAAAATTAGTCGTGTCATTTCTCTGCAGGACTGATTCACATGAGGCGCCATGGCTACTGACAAGAATTGCATTCTAACCCGCTCTAAACTCGTTTCTCGAAAACTACTGAACGGCCTAAAGCGAAAAAGACCTCTTTGGAAAGCTCAAAGCTCAAAACTCAAAGCGCCAGATCCTCTTTCTTTACGAATTGCGCTCCGAAAAACCAGGCGCAAGTTTTTGCATATTTGATTAACTGTTGAAGTTAAACCTTCAATGTTATTACGTCATTTATGTCATTTGACCAATTAGGTGTCTTTTTCCTAAAATAGCCTTGCAGTTTGACCACGCGCTAAAATTAGATTGAAAAAGATTTTCATTGGAAGATGCCCATGTATAGGGGATGTGTTCTCTCAGATCATGGTCTCTTGGTAAAGGCGAGTTCTAAAGAAATCTGTGAAGAAATATCATTTTGTTGAGATTCAAGGCTAATTAACTTGGCTACCCCAATTTTTCTTTGTGGATTCCAATAGCCCTTGCAAAGATCTACTTTTTCCGCGTGGTCCTAACGTGGCGTAAAAGCCTTTGTATTTAGTAGGTACCATCCTTAAAATATATATAAAGGTTTGAAGAAGGGTGGTTGTGAGGGGTAGACAAAGCATTTTTGAAATTGCGAAAACGACTCCCGGGGGGACTCCAATATTACAAGGATTAGGGTGCTCTGTGTAGCCTCTAGGGGTTATGGTACCTCTTAGGGCGTTCAGCATCAAAAGGTCCACAGCCGGAGCTTTCGCAGTACCTTTTATGGTACAATGAAGAACTTATATTTAAGAACAGGAAAGAGATTCAAGACAGTGCTTTAATACACTTAACAAGTAAAGGTATTCAAGGCAATCATCTTTATGGCTTTTAAGTGTCAGTTAAGGTGGCTGAACACAGTTTTTGATACTTCTGTTCATTCACCTTTTTATCTAAACCCTTGATCCCTCGGTCGCCAAAACTGGCAGCAAGCAAGTTAACAACACAAACGTTGGTTTTTTGATGGTTAGGCTGACGTATGTGCCGTTGCCATGGCAACATGAATAAATATAAACAGGCCT